GCGTACACTATTATGGACTTGCATGTACTCAAGTATGTATTATCGATTTCTTTTAAATAGAAAGATGCCATTTTTTCATATCCGTGTTATCATCCAATATATTTTTGTTTTAGAAATACGCCTAAAGACTGAAGAAGATTGGATTAATCTTTTGCAACAGCAGGAAAGCTTGCACAACGTAGAGATGAGGAAATGGCAAAGGGTTCTGCACACAGCTGCACAATTGCTTAGACAAGTAAGATTCAAATACATACCGAATGCGGAAAAATTAAAATCATAAATTCCGAGTGCATGTAAAGTACTGATTTAATGACATATTTTTTTCATAAATTAATATTAAAAAATTTTGAAATATAGATGTAATTATATTTTTGAAGTTTTCACAGATATTTTAAAATTTTATAGCGGTTTATGAGATACTACTATTGTAACAATAAGATACTACTATTGTACGTAACAATAACACGATAATCTACAAACCAATGTAGATTAATATCTTATTTTTTTCCTTTTGAATTTGACTATGTCTAAAGTTTATTCATTCATAATTTTTCCGCATCCTATATTTCTATTTGAGGCTATTTCTGTAATCTTAACATTCATATTTCACGCTTGTTTTAAAAGACAGAAGAATCTTTAACGGAACTACAAATGAGCATTCATCCCACTGCAACGGAAAAGATGTTCTCAGTATTAAAACCAAATTTAAAAAGTCTCAATGCACATACGGAACGACGAAGCAAGTCGGAAATGTAAAAATCTATATGTTAAATTTTATGTGTAAAATATTAATTTTTCAAATCAGTAAGTCTTCACAGATGTAAAAGCGTTTAGGAGCGCTATTTAAAAAGTGTATTTTTCCTATTATTACTATCATTGTTTTAAGGTTCGCGATTTTTCTCCATATGCTATATGTACAAAATGAATCAATTATAAAGCATTACGTTGAAGTTAATAACTTCAATATTTATTGTATAGTTATATTGAATGTAAACGCGCTTTCTATTTACGCATTGTGAAATGATGTTATGGAAAATAATAGATGATTTTTAGAACAACTCTAAGAAATTCCTTGCAATTTTCCAAAAATAATTTTCAACATCATAGAGCACTGATAGGACACAAAATTCCTGGAAAACAAATAATGGTTATGTATTTTGATTAAATTATTTAATCAAATTGGATAACAAGGAAGTAACATTTCCAGAATGCATACATGGAAACGATTCAGCAGAATTTATTTATCCTCTGGCTTATTGAATACAAGTGTATATCCACACTTTCCACAGTAATGTCGATCTTCCATTGCTGCCATGAATACCCCAGCACCACATTGTTCCATGGGGCATTCCCGTCTTAAACGATGGATTTTTCCATTTTCATCTACCTGTAAAGCATTTTTCGCGTTCAAAATTTCAAATATATCAATAAGATACATATTATTTCAATGTGAAGATAAAGAGAACACTTCAAGAATAACCAGAGAAAACAAAGATAATTCACCTTATAATATTTCAGCACAGCAAGCTTCACCTTCTTCTTTTTATGTTTGATTTTTTTGGGAGTAGAGTAGTTCTTCTTCTTACGCTTCTTGGCACCACCTCGCAAGCGCAAAACTAAATGTAACGTAGATTCTTTCTGAATGTTGTAGTCTGACAGAGTCCTGCCATCTTCCAATTGCTTGCCAGCAAAAATTAACCTTTGTTGATCTGGCGGAATTCCTGAAATAATAAAATATTTTATTTAGAGACTGAATAATACAATCTTATTTCGTAATTTCAAATTTAACAATAAATTTAACACTTCTAATTATTTTTCAAAGTTGATTAAAATAAATCTGTATAATCTGCTAATAGTAAAAGTTTTTTACCCTCCTTATCCTGAATTTTCGCTTTCACATTTTCAATCGTATCCGACGCCTCGACCTCAAGGGTGATGGTCTTCCCTGTAAGAGTCTTCACAAAAATCTGCATTATCAGCGAGTCTGTAACATGTATTAATCATTTTCCAATT